AGGTCCCCCACTTTAATGAAAGGCTATGTGGCAGTTTTTGTTTGTTTTACGACAAAAGCTGTTCACCTTGAGCTATGTACAAATCTGACGACAGAGGCTTTTCTCGCGGCATTCGCTCGCTTCGTCGGACGGCGTGATTTTCCCTCAAAAATAATGAGTGACAATGGCAAAACGTTTATTGGAGCCAAAAGACCTACTGAGAAACAGTTTGTGGACTTAATCAAACAAGTCTCATCTGAGATTGTACAGAAGTACGCACCCCAAGGCATTAATTGGCAGTTTATCCCCCCAAGCGCTCCTCATATGGGTGGTTTATGGGAATCAGCTGTAAAAAGCTTCAAATCCCACTTCAAAAAAGTAGCTGGAAACTACAAGTTTAATTATGAAGAATCCACGACCTCATTAATTCGAATTGAAGCCGTACTCAATTCACGGCCAATCACAATCCTCTCGCAAGATCCCTCCGACTTCACCGCCCTAACTCCTGGTCATTTTCTCAAAGGAGCACCCATTCTGGTTATACCTGAGCCAGACGTGGAGTCGCTATCCTTATTAAACCGATGGGAAAGAATCAAAATTCTCCATCACAATTTTAGCCGCGGATGGAAAGAAGATTATCTAAAGGACCTCCACAAGAGTACCGCTGGAAAACTCCAGAAAAGGCGCCGAAGCTTGGAGATCGTGCTAGTACACGATGATTGCTTCCCCTCTACCGAATGGCGGCTTGCCCGCATAAAAAACCTTCACCATGGTTCCGACGAGTAGCCGATCTCCGTACGCAAACCGGATTACTAACTAGACCGCTCGTAAAGCTATGCTTTTTACCCACAGCCGATAATACCGAACAAACTAAAATTAATTCAAAAAAAATAAAATAAATCCGGTAAAAGGTCGATCGAACTAACGACCCATTTATGCCACTTAACGTGGCCCAAATTTACAACTCAATCATGCGACAAACTTATAATATAAATAACTTTTTTCCCATATAGATCATTATGGACGGAAATGCACCAACAACAACGCCAGCAATACGTTCGGCCGTTAATGTGCCACGCCCTGGGGCAAATCCAGTACCCCGAACTACGGCTACAACAGCCCTTCCAATCGCTCCTCGTAGTGGCACGCGGCCACTAATCCCGTCAACATCGCTGTCCGCGGAGCAGCACAGCCTCCGATGCCCGCTATGTTGTCGCCCACACCGATTGCAACATTGCGGCATATTTAACATCCACCAATCCAAAGACAGCAAATCGCCCAGTCACATGGACACTGCCTGAATTGTCCTCGGCCGAGTACCTGAAGATAGGTCAATCGCGCTGTATTAACATATTCTAATATTTTTGCGCTGCATCGCAAGTGCTTTGTTTTTATTGAGTGGCTTTAAATATAATTGGATTTTGAATAAAATTGGTGCGTTTTAAACCAAAATGGAGTGATGAGTGAATTAATTCCAAGAGGTTGGAAGAGAAATATACAATTAGGTTTAATGTATGTATCTTTCAAACTATTCAAGCTATATCACCCAAATTCGCACAGGAAAAATCATTTCGACATCTCTTACGCCAGCATGAAAATATTGACGAGATCGGACAACCACGTCTACCACCATATAACACAATTTTAAATTCCATCCGATCTTTTGACTTTCCACTATATTAAATATTTTAATTAATTAAAAATATATAAAAGCGTGACAATCCCCCTTATACCAGATATATCGGTCAATATGTAAAATATCTTAGCAAAATTAACTGAATGTATAATATTGGATCTACATTAGTTTAATGCGGAAAATATGTGAAACTTTATTATACTTATATTATATGTACTACATATAATAATTTCCGTTATTCTATACTAATAGATTATTCATTAACATTCTCTGCTCAAACTGTAAAGTAAGCTGTTTTAATGTGTTTGAAGATTGATAGTTGTTAAAAATTCAGATATATTGAGTAACATCCCGTTTTTTTAAATTTCAAGCATATAATGTTAATGCGAAAAATATAAATATTTATCGATTATTGCATGAAAGGTTTGGACACAAAGGAAAGGAAAATTAATAGAAATAAAAAGAAACAACATATTTAATGACAATAATATTCTTAATAATTTAGAGCCCTCAGATGAGGTATGTGAACCTCGTTTAAATGGGAAACAGGATTAGCATCATATGCAAATATGTATGTAAATATCCATAATGTAATAAAAATGTGTTAGAAAGGATTCACAAGGATAAAAAGTTGGATATTCAAAAACATTTTAGTGCACCGCGTACATGAAACGTACAAGAACTTAAAAATGTAATATAAAAGAAAATGCAGAAAATTGTTCGACTCAAGCTGTGGGACTCATGTTGCTGATGTGAACCTAATGAGCGACATCAAAAGAGATTATGCATATAATCGCAACAAAAGAGACCTCGTTTGTACGCAGTTATATAAACGATGGTAAATATTCACAAGTTCGTCTTTTACATTTTGATTTGCTTTGCTTCGAAGTACGGCGAAGCCAAAGTTGTAAAGCCAGTCGGTCAATATCCTTAGTTTCAGATGATTCATGTGTAAAATTTTTGTAATTTCATAACAATTTTCAGGTGAATGTTTGTACCAAATTGGCTTATGACATTTTATAAAATTTGATATAATTGGTGTATAGTTTTTAATGATAATGCTTTTTATTCATTCGCTATGGTTGCGAATTACAATCGAATTATCTTTGCATGTTATTATGTCGTTCAGCTTTAGCGATTGGCGAAGGTATTATTAAATTTTATATCGTCTTGTGCTTCAAACAGTTTGAACCTTGGTATGAATCGGACTGTTTTTTAATTGAAGTTTGTCTGATTATCTGAATTTAGATGTGGGATAAACTTTTGTACACTCGTAATATATTGCAATAGAGAATATAGTAATTTGTTCATCTTACAGTGTTTGTAACACCTAAATCTAATCGAAATAGATTTAAAGATCGAAATAGGTATAAAGGACGGTAATAGGGACGGTCTGCGCGCCCGATTACCCCTGCAAGCGACTCATACTCAAGTTACTTATGTATTATATGTACAAACTGTAATAATTTTTTTTAATCAATGCATTACATTTATTTTTTTATTGTAATATTATAATAAAAATTTTATTTTATTTTATATAGTCAATTACTTTTAAAAATTATGGACCGTAAATGACCTCCATGCTCCGCCACGTATATGCGACATATAATTCAAAAATTGTTCATTGCGGCCTGAAGGGTTGAAATCGGGACTGCCTCAATTGTCGATTTAATGGAGTGCTTCAATTTTGTCAGATTTTTGGGTTTTGTTTTGTACACCTCTTGCTTGAGATAACCTTATAAAAACCTCTGGTGTAGTCAGGTCAGGTGACCTTGGGAGCCAGTATCAAATGGAGTTTCTTGATATTAATTTGGTTTAAAAATTTCGTTGGAGCTTCGTTATAACCGGTCTGGCTATGTATGCAGTTGCTCCATCTTGCTGGAATCAAACGCTATTGAAAGGAATATGTCTTCAGCGCAGTTGTGGGTAAAAAAACTCATTCAACATCTTTAAATAACGGTGCCACACAGTGACTCGTTCCGGTAAAGTTCCGTCTCGTGGATTATTTCTGGATTTGATTCACTTCATATATGACAGTTATGCTTGTTTACATTTCCATTTAGATCAAAATGAGCCTCATCAGTCATAAACAGACAATTTATCAAGTTATTGTCTTCTTCAGCCATTTCAACAACAGGTTTATGTCATCATGAATTAGCTGTTGTAATGACCATCTGCTAACTCCTTGTTGCGCTGATAAGTTGCGAGTTGAAACACTTGAATTTGCCTGAATTGACGATGCAAGAGCCGCGGTTGTTTCTTGAACACGATCATACGGATCTCGATCGTTCGGTCCTCTTGCGATACTTCCAGATTCGGCAAACATGTTTACCAACCTCATAATGGTCCATCTACTCGGGGGAGTGCCGCCCAAATGCCGTCTGAACTCTGCAAAGAATGGAGCCGCTGCACTATCCAAACCCTCTTTTCTGTATCCCATGCATTCATTTCTAAAAATCTTAAATAATAAACTGCCAAATAAAAAAAAAAGTCGAAAACTCACACAGAAAAAGTTATTACAGTTTGCTTTTGTATCACGATTCGTGACCCACCCTTTACATATGTATGTTGATGAAACTCAGTACATGTATTTTTTGACACCTGAGGTATGCCATCTTACGCCATCTCATTTGGACCTTAGAGCTTAAGTCTAAATTTTTACGGAATATATCGGTTAATCCGTGAGATATATTATTGAAATACGGAAAGAATCTCTTTACGACAATAGGGTGGCCGTATCCTTAAAATGGATAAAATCGGAACAATACTTCCCCTAGTTCCCATATATCTAATATATAAGGATTTTTAAATATCCGATTGACTTTACACCATGCATATAAATAGATCAATATGTATAATTAAATGAAAGTCAGACAGCAATTACATCTGGAAATAAGTTTTCATGGTGTCAAAACTAAATAAAATCGGGTTTCTACTACCCCTATTCCTATATTCCTATTATAATAATTTCAAACATCATGTTGCCTTGACACAATATATATCGGTCAAATGTAATATATCTCAGGCAAATGAAGTGAATAGCTGAATATTGTATATACTATAATTTGATACCAAAATTTTTTTAAAATCGGGCCACGATATACCCAAACGCTTTTATACTGCATACAATAATCGTTGAATTCATAATCTATAATATATTTACATAAGTTAATAAGATTCCAAATATGATTGTAATTATTTTTTTGCAACCCTCTTTAATATAAAGTTTTGCTGCCCCTGAAAGTATTCCGCCAGCTTTGCTTCTAGGGAATTGCGAGAGTATAAAATATTCGTTTTATCACGAACTTTTTAACATATTTTATTTTGCTTATAGAAATAGTGGTCAAAGGAATAGAAATATAACTATTTTACAACATTGTCTTACCTAATATGAGCATTATTAGTAATAGAATGCTTGCGTTTTTTATCAAAAAATACATCATTTCGTGGTTATGTGTTCTCTCATATTCACTGAAATTATGCCAAAAATATTGATTAGACGCATAGCTTGGAAATATTCCCGCTTTCTGTCTGTCTTCGTATTCCATTTTGTTACAAATATTAAAATTTACATGAGTTTCCAATTTTGTAATGCAATGACAGTTACAATGCCATATACAGAAGCACCGATTTTCACCTTCAACAAAAATTATCCGAGAAGAAATTGTTGTAGAATTTTTCTTTATCAAATCTTCGGAATTAGTTTTGGACTGGTTTGCCACTAGATAATGTGCACGGCTTTTGTCAATACCAACTTTCACGAGCACTGAAAATATAGATATATAAAATTATAATTATATCAAATTATAAAAATGTAAAATTATTATAAGCATCGAATGACGAAATATTTAGTTTTGTCGTACAGTCATTCGGATTTCAACTCGTCTCATTATCCAGTTCATTTATAAATATATGTATACATATATCCCTATATCCAACTCGATTATTTTTATACTCTTACAACATGTTGCTACAGAGTATAATAATTTAGTTGACATAACAGTTGTCTGTGACACCTAAAATATACCGGGACCTGCTGGAGCGATTTCAACCAAATTCGGTATATAACGTTTTCGGACATTCCTTTATTACAGTGCGAAGTCGGACTACAACCACGCTTGCTTTCTATATAACAATATTTGATTTCCCATCTGATTTTTTCACTTTCCAGTATAGAAATCAAGCACCAATGAATGTATCGGCATAAAACTTTGAACCAATAATGCTTTTAATATATACCATATTGTGACGGAAAATTGTTTAAATCGAACCAAAGCTGTTCAAGCCCTTAGATACCGAATATGTGGAAACCAGTACATATAGTTGACATTAATATCGGTCCATGTGAGAGATACATAACTGAAATTCAAAGAGGTTCCTTTCTTGATAATAGTATGTCTGTATGTCAAAAATGAGTTGAATCTGGTCAATACTTGCCTTGGCCCCCATATACCTAATATAAAGATTTTTGAACTTCCGGTTGACTTTATACCGCATATATCGGCCAATACGTGAGTTTTCTTAATAAAAATGAAAGAGCGTATTTCTCTAATAGCAGTGCAACTTTTTCCCTAAAATGAATGAAATTTGGTGAATCTTGACCTAGCCCCTATATAACTTATATTAGAATTTTCGAACATCTGGCTGACTTTACTCCATATGATTGGTGATGGTATGTGAAGTACCTTATATTATGATTTATATATGAAATTGCTTCAAAAAACGTTTAGGCCCGTCTGTTTCTGTTTTTAAATTTAAACCATTCAGGTTAGCCAAAATGTTTGATATTTAAGTGAAATTAAGCAGACAAGTGTTCTTTTAAATTATTTGGTTTAGTGCTGAATTACAAAGGAATTGGTCTATACCTCGGTCTAAACCTCATATCCCCAATATAATAAATTCCGATCCTCCGGTTAACGTTTTCCACATCAACTCTATGTACTAAATTTAGCCTCTTCGGTCGAGTTAATATCACATACAAATATCTCATTTGAAGATGTTTTTAATATAATTTTTGCTGACGCGAACTAAAATATAGCAATGAAACTAAGTCTAAGTATATGGCCCTAAATATAAGTCAATAAGATACTAAATTCGATTGTAATTTATTCACGATCTCATTGTATAATGAATGTTAAATTCCTTTGCAACATTTTTTAATATAAAGGTTTACCAACACCTGAATGATTTTCTCGAGCTTCGATTCTTGCAACTTGGCGTTTTGTATATGCTCGCAGTATTTTTGCTTGTGCAATTTTTAAAGCATCTGGAATGTCTTAATAAGATACTTTGTTGTAAAATATATCAAATGGTTTCCTTTCAATAATAGAATGAATAGTCATATTGTACTGTTGTGCTGTTCGAAACATAATTTCCAAATTGTCTACAAGGTTGAATACTTGTTTCGGACATCTGACCTGTCCATTCGTGGTACTGTATTTTAGGCCGCAATAATAGAAGGTAATATTTAATGTTTGCATTAGTGATTTAAATTGCGGAGTGCTAAAACTTGGGCCATTGCTCAAGGTTGGTCGTTTAGCCTCGGGGAACATTTGCAAGATTTCTAATACATTTTCGTCTATTTTTAATTTATTTTCTATGTTTTTCAAAATAAGAAATTTTTAATAGGCATCGACGCAAGTTATGAAATTAATTTTTTTTCAGCGTAAAAGATGTCGAGATGCAACTATTCTTCTTCCTTGTCGTATTTGTTTCTATTACAAATTTCGCAGTTTTTGCAATATTTTTAAGTTTTTTACTCTTGTCGGGCCATTAGTACATTGTATATATTTGTTTAATATTATCATCATAACTACGATGTGCTCTAGTATGTGTTTGTTCAATAATGCTACATTGATCATCTATATTTGTTACATCTATAGGAAAGATTTTAGTATGAAGAAACTTTATGTTAAATGTGCCCATAATTATGAAAATGGTCTAAGTCATATATTTCTTGTTTCGAGATATTTAATGAAACGCTTTTGAATAAATTAAAAAATATTTATTATAGATATAAAATTTTGTGTGAATTTAATAGGAAATTGTTGTTTTTAGACCTTGAATTGACTTAGACCATTTTCAAAATTAACTGAATGTTCTATATTTGACTTAAAGTTATAAAATATTGTATTTTTACTTGGAACAACAACTTTAATGAAATAATTTAACATTTATTAATCATTTTTACAAAGTAATCCATTTTTATCATAATTTCGATTTTTTAAAATTTTTAAAATGTGCCTGAAAAACTGGAAGGATGTATGGTAGCAAACACATAAGATCTTTATGTTTTTCTTCCGTTACTGGTCTAGTGGTTTTGTATAATGGAAGTAATTGAATATTTTCGTATATTTTTGGTCTTCCTCTTTTAGGTAAAATATCCAAAACTTGGAGTTCAAAATCATCTAAAGAAGTCTTATAAAATATTTTATAAGGATCATTTATCAAGAATCTCATCCATTGTATAAGTATAAGTAATTTGCTTTTTTTATTTTCCTCTCTATCAAACCAAAATCACGATCATTCGGTAGAAAGGAATGACCCGATACCATATATTTGTGGTCTATCGTTTTAATATTATTATTCGATGACTGGGCAATTTTTAACCATGTCAATGCTACTTTAATGGTGCGATTTTGGCCTGAACAAGCATCACTGTAGGCTATTACGTGTTGGGAATCTAAGATATTTTCCATATGCACTAAAATGCACGATGTTTCTTCCTGTTCACCTCTTGAAGCTGTTGTTTCATCCCATACATTCATTTTGACATTGTCATCATGGAAATTATGGAAACCCAAGTTGTATACGTACATGTTTCACTTATAATAGGCTACGGAAAAAGACAGTTTGGGATACAGAAGTGCTTTTTGCCAATCAAATGAGAATCCATAATATTCTTTGGAATTTTCTTTTGCTCTCTTTTGGTCTTCTGCAAGACAGTTCCTAGCTCGTTCGGCATTTTGTAAATATACATCATGGCTTTATCTAAGATGTAATTTCTTTTCCTCAATATATGCAAGCTTCTATATTTCCTTAGTGCAAATCACATTTTTGGCATGTGTCTTTTCGAGGAGCATGGATTTCGATTGTCCATGCTGGATACGAGAAGTTATAATTAAAGCATACAAAATCATGCAAAAATTATGGATTTATTTTTACTCCACCTAATATAATTTCTTTAAATTGTTGACTTAGACCACTTTCATAATTAACACTAAATGAATTCCGTATAACGTTATAATTACAACAACTATATAAAGGTAAATTTTTGACAGATCGTAAAAATTACATTGAATACATTTAGTTTAAGCTCATGTCGTGTGAAATAAGTGATAAACTCATTTTTTTTTAATTTTGACTTAGACCACTTTCATAATTATGGGCACAAATGTTTCTTTTAAAGGTACATTGTTGTTACCAGATTTGGTTGGAGAAATTCTTTCAATTATGTCAGCAGATTTTCTACTGTGTCGATATTCTATCAGATGTCGTGATATCCGAATGCATTAATACCATACACCTATGTATGGGGAATCTTGCTTCTAAAAAATCATATTAAGACGTTTTTTGGTTACCTCGATTGTGAAGCTATCGCTACTTCGTTCGATTATTAGTATCTTAATAATTTATTGACTTCTCGGCTATATTAATATTTAATATTATTCTTGATAAAGCATCTGCTAGTATATTGGAAACGCCTGGTTTATAAAATATTTTAGGATAGAATTCTTCAATGAAAGCACACCATCTTTTCATTTTAGAGTTTGAGTTACGGTTGAAAATTGCGAAGGATAACCACTGATGATTCGTGTGGATTTCAAGAATTCTAACACCATATAAATAGTTCCTTAAATTTTTTAAAGACCACACAATTACGTATAGCTCTTTTTATTTGTGGCATAATTACGTTCTGTTTTATTAAGTGTCTTTGACACGAATGTAATTAGCTTTGATTCTTGGGTTAAAATAGTTTTCATGGCTACATCTGAAGCGTCAGTGTTTAGAGCGAATTTATTATTAAAGTTTGGCTGATTAAGTTCAATTTGCATTGTCACATGTTTTTTAATGTACTAAATTTGGAATTTTTTTGGACATGTTTTTTGAGATCCTTCCGTTTTCTCCGGAGAGTTATGTTGTCAATGGCTTTGCTTCGTTGTCTCATTCCCATACCACCGTTGCCAGATAAGCAAATTTCTGGAAGTTACAAAGAACAATATGTGGAGTAAGGTGTACATACATACGTGGAAGTCTCTTATTGTTGTGTCATATCATCGCCGGAAAAGGCATTGTTGCCATTGCCTGCTCAACAGTTGATGTTATTTGCTATGCTGTAATGACTGATATGTACTTTACTTGTTTGAGTATACATTTTAATATATAGGTTTTAAAATGTTAATATTTATATTTAAATTTTTTATAGTGTTAATATTATATTTAAACTAATATATATTTGGTATATTGATTTCTTAATACACGTCTACGTCTGGGCGACGTGATAACCAGAATAAGGGATAATGGGATGCCTAACTCTTTCCAGTATGAGAGCGCCTCAAAATTTGCGTTTTATATAACATTTTCGATTGTAGTGAGATCGGACAAAATAATAATTTTTGGGAATTTAAATTAAAATAAACAATATTTATTAAGATTAAATATTATTATGCATGTATCCCTTAAACAAATGCAAAAACTATTTAAGCCTTTTTTTGTGATTTTGTAATATATTAAATTAATTGATTTTTGAAGTTTCAATACTTAATC